GTTTACTTTCAATAAATTTCTATTTTGAAATTTTTAACTCTTATCTATTGTTATTTACTGTTCTCTCTGGTACAACTACAGTTAATAACAAGATTAATACAGTTTGACAAATCAGGAAAATTATTCGGTAGGCCTAATGACACCGACAAAGGTTACGGCAAAGTGTCCTTAAATGTACGGGAATTGTCCATGAATTTTTTATCCAGAATGTAGTAGACACCCTGTTAATGCAATAAGGCTAGACGCACACGAGCGATTATTTTGAGGTGATTATTTCATCGGCTGATCTGTGCTACATGTATTAGAATGGAAGCGTCCACATCGGCCGATTAAAAAATCGTCCAAAAATAAATCACCCTTGATTTATGTCTAGGTGCACACATGGCGATTTTTTAGTTGAGAAATGGATGTTTTCGAGTGCGTAGCTATCCTAAAAAAATGGACTTTGTAGAATTAACCTGTGTTTGTGCTCTTCTAATTAGGTCTAAGAAAAAAGAAGACAACGTAAGTATTGGGTTCATCCTATAGTAAGTCAAAGACTATATTCTTTCAAATTTTTACCATACAGCTAAGACTTTTTCTATTTTATTTATAAATTCAGGGTGTCTACCAACCGGGAAATCCGGGAAAACCGGGAATTGTACTTACATTTTTATTGGCCATGAAATGTACGGGAATTGTCCTTAAATGCCAGACTATGTACTTAAATTTTTAATAGGCCATAATTTTATTGATCGCTAGTTGGTTAGGAGCACATAAAAGGTTTATCAGATGTTTGTTTACATTTTCATAATTTATTACTAGAATAATTATGCAATAAAAATCCCATTAGCAATCTCAAACCCATTAATATTTTATCACCAATCAAGTGTCAAGTCAAGTACTTCCAAGAACTGTTGACTCAGCAGCTAGCTCATAAAAGTTGTATCACTTTTATTCCTTTACAACTTCTTTTTTTATTACTAGGGTAATTATTATTAGATCCCAAACCTATTTTATCGTGAAAATAATAGCTTTATAATGGCTGTTAAATTTCACTTCTTACTTGGGGGCTTGAAGATTCAATTTGCCGCGGCCAGTGCCTAGTGCCATAAAACTGTTTATGGTTTCATATTAAACATGTAAATAATCTACAGTCTTATTTTGTAAGTTAACCCCTTTTTATGGACATTTTATCTTTCAATTGACAAAACCACAAGCATTGTTGTTTGCATTTATGTTTTATCACTGTGTAGGCCTATGCTTGGTTTCAAATTATTTCATTGCATTTTCTGTATCTTTGTCTTATATTGGCTATTCAGGTTTCAATGTTTTTTGTTTCCTATATATTTATTTATTGAGTTGTATGCTTTAAGCAATCTAAATCTTATGAACTAGAATGATGATAGTGACTTTGCTGCTATTATAACCTCATTGTTTGTTACTCAGTTTATATAGGCCCTCCTAAATAATTAGGTCTCGGCCTGGGTATTTTGATTCTTGAAAGAGCTGTAAAATATATTAAGAAAATGTAATTGAGCCTAAGATAAACAACTAATGATTGCTATGTGTCGATATTAACTTTGCAAATGAAAATACAATAATCTTACTCTGTGCTTATCTATCTATATATTAATAGGCAAGCATGTTTCTTTAAAACCTTTTTTCTCAGCTCGTGTGAATCGTACAGAAAATCTACGCATACCGTTAGAAAGCTAATTTCCTGTAGGTGTGCAGAATCCCTTTATAAACTAAAATAGGCACAAAAATAAGCACACAAAATGAATTTGAAATTTAAAAAAATTAACATGGGTTTTATGGGTTGCTATGGTGATGACGAAATAACAACAAAATATAAACAGAAAATCAAAACACTGTTTATATTTTGTATTATATTATTGTATTGTATTTGTATATATTATTGTATTTATATTTTGTCTTCCGTCTTATTTTGGCGGAAGACATTCCAATCACATGTTTTATTAAACAGTGTGAGGTGAAAATATAGAAGTTTGCATAAAACATACTTTTGGTCGATTTTTCGACCACGGGGCGTGCTCTCGTTGCTTATTAATAGCCGCTTACCATACCTTGATTTTGTACTAAGAATTGAGTAACAATATGCATTAAAGATTTTTTTTCAAAAGTAGTCGAGAACCTAACCTCCTGGATCGGATAAGCTATGTTATGAAGTTTACGTGACCGATGGAGATATTTGTCGCTATCGGAGGAGACAATGATTGCGTTTCTCTGTTACACTATAAAAGCTTTACCTAAAGTATAGGTAGGCCTATGTTTGTTTACTTTCAATAAATATCTATTTTGAAATTTTTAACTCTTATCTATTATTATTTACTTTTCTCTCTGGTACAACTACAGTGAACAACAAGATTAATACAGTTTGACAAATCAGGAAAATTATTCGGTAGGCCTAATGACACCGTCAAAGGTTACGGCAAAGTGTCCTTAAATGTACGGGAATTGTCCATGAATTTTTTATCCAGAATGTAGTAGACACCCTGAAATAGCTCAGTATCGAACTCTGCCTTGCTAAAAAGTAAGATAAACTAAAAACGAATAACTACAACAACACGACTCACGCTGAGACTTTCAATGACTCCAGAAGAGAACAATGAGCGACTGGCAGATTTTTTAGTCAACCGTGTGCACGGACTGATAACAACATTGATAACGTTACAGATTTCTGGGCGACAATCGCATTGCCTATGAATGTGCAGCAAAATGCAGATTTTAAAATCGGCGCAATTCTCGATCGCCTGTGCGCGCGCTTCCATTCTAATACTTGATGCACAGATCGGCCGATGAAGTAATTGCCTCAAAATAATCGCTCGTGTACGCCAACGGAAACCCGTAACGTACAGTTTGTTATCAGTCCGCGCACACGGTCAACAAAAAAATCGGCCAGTCGCTCGTTGTTCTCCTCAGGGTCAGTCGATGTCTCAGCGTGAGTTGTGTTGTCATAGTTTTTCTTGCTTTTTACCATGGCAGTGGCAGAATTCGATACTGAACTATTTATAAATGAAATAGAAAATACCCCCGCCACAGCAAACCTGCAGACTAAGCAAATTTCCATTTGCCTGATTGGATTTACGCTAAAATGTCTACTTAAAAATAAAAAAAATATTCCCTATTTAAATAGAATTAATTAGTTTAACAAGTACTTAGGTTTGTTGCATCAGGGAGAACTGTGTTTTTTTTAAATGTTAATATTTAGTAATAAATAAAAACATTTTTCAAATGTAATCAAAATATGTTCATAAACAAGCAAACTACAATGTTTACTTATTCTCCATAAGAATAACATGGGAATTTTAAATTTAGAATTTGTTGGAATTTTCTCCGTAACCATTAGGCACATAATAACGCTTCAATATACTAAATTATTTGTTTTTTTAAGCTCTACAAAATGGTTTGAAAAGAAATTGCTAAATTTTATGTTTTTTGGGTCAAAAATGGGAAAAACCTATTTTTACCCCATAAAACCCCCCGTAAACCCCCGTTCCCATAGTCCGATCATGCTGGTTCGCGAACTCATTCGAATAAATGTAGGTTTACACTTTTATACAAAATTTCATCAAAATCGGATCATTTTTGCTCGAGTTATCGTGCTAACGGACACATATATGAATTTGAACGGATGGTGTTTTTGGCCTCTATGGACCTCAAAACGAAAAAAAAATCGGTTCCGCGTCCAGGTCTTACCATGAGTACTACGGTAATAGCTTATTCCCTATGGGAAATTCGCTAAAAGGCCGCAGCTGTTTAGTAAAAATTTGAAAGAATATAGTCTCTGACTTACTATATGATGAACCCACAATTTACGTTGTCTTATTTTTTCTTAGACCTAATTAGATGAACACAAACACAGATTAATTGTACAAAGTCCATTTTTTTAGGACAGCTACGCACTCGAAAACATAAATTTCTCAACTAAAAAATCGCCTGGACATAAATCAAGGGCAATTTATTTTTGGCCGATTTTTTTATCGGCCGATCAAAAAATCTACCGTGTGCGCCAGGCCTAACGGTCAACAGATAACATATGTTATGTATCATGAGTTTTATATTGATTGAAGCTTATTGTAGACATTTTATAGATTGCTCATCGACATGAAAAAGTTTGTAAGGTAAATTAAGGATGAGTGGATGTCTAACGAAAAGGAATTGACTTTACAACTTAATTAATCGTAGTAAGACTGAAAATATTTGTAGGCATATAAGCTCTATTTTTTACCTCTTGAACAAATCAAACACCTCGAGCAAGCTCGGTCCCCTGGTACTTGTGTTTTAATCACACATTGTCACATTTTACATTACTACAACAGAAACAAATGACTTAAAACTTGTCAGATAATGAACATCATCTGAAGACAATGTTTTGACACTTGAGATAATATATCAATCACCAAACAAATGTTCCCCCTTCCCACCCCTCACTGCTTGGGGTGTTGATAATGGACGTCCCCTCCACACAGTGATAGTGATAGTGCCCTTCCACAGGCACACTGCATTCTAAAGTAACTGGACTATGACTCTCTTTCCCCACCCTCCGGCATGTTTGACTACAAGGGTGCTGACCTCTCACGAAAGTTAGTTAAAAATTCTAACTAGTTAGAAGTTATTAGTTAGTCCCGTAAAAAGTAACTGATAGAAGTTATTAGTTAATAGAAGTTAGCCAAAAAAAACTAACAAATATTGCTATTCGTTAGAATTTCTATTCGTTATTCCCAAGTATGGTTATCTGCATATCAAGAGGGGTTTTAAAGTGCCTTGAAAAATTAGGAACAGTTAGGTCATTACTCAGTAAAGAAATAGGTAGGGCCTACTGACTTTTTACTCTAGCATACAATAATCAAACTTGGAATCATTTGAATTCTACCTCTGCGAACTTTTTCTTTTCATATTATCTATGAACCAACCAAGTCCACACTAAAAATATAATTGTACCTTGTTCAAAGTATTTATGCTACCTATTTTAAAATCACAGTTTTTTATCACAGGCCGCAAAACCAGCTCCTGATCCGTTGGTCAAACGCCGAAACGAAGCTTCTAACGATGGCAACAACTCTGGCAAGCGACAAAAGATGGACGACTCTCGACCTCAGCTTGAGCGTTTGAAAGATTCAACTGTTCCTCTCTGGAGACTGACCCCAGATGAACAGGTAAGCCTCAATCAACTGTGGATGGTAATGACATTTATTTACAAATACATGTTTTTTATTAGGCTAAAGGACATTTTTATCTTTCAGTTACAAAGATTATGACATTCTTAACTCTAATTCTATTGATTTTCAACTGAACTTTTTCATGTTTATTATGGGCTGGGTAGGAATGTTTCTGAGCATTGTAGGCATATTAAAACCAGGGGAACGGGTATTTAAAAATATATATCTACTAGCTGTAACCCGTGGGCTTTGCCCCGTTTAACTTCTTAATTTTCAAGATGATCTCGTTCGCATGGCTCAATCACGTCCTGACGTCCTGGTTGAAGTTCGTTCGCTACGCTCACTCACTTTTTGGTTGAAGTTAGTTCGCTACGCTCACTCACTTTCAGGTTAGCTCGTTCGCTACGCTAAATCGCCTCACATGGGAAACTCTAGAGCCACTGGGGCGGAACCCAGAGGTCGGAGGGTAAAATCCTTTCTTAGTGAGCGTCTACTACCCAAAAGGAAGATGCCTGCCAAGTTTCAGGTTTCTAGGTCTTATGGTTTCTGAGATTTCGTGATGAGTGAGTGAGTGAGTGAGTGAATGAATGAGTCAGTGGTATTTGAGCTTTATATATATAGATAACTATCCTTATTATCATTTACGAGGCTGAGTCAAAAATAAAATAATATTCATTTAGACAAAAGAACTGGTCACATGTTGAAGGAATTTAAAAAGTAAAAACGCTAGTAAATCTAGTGACATAATTAATTGTCTATTGATAATCAAACCACCCTCATTGAATCAATGTACATCGTAACTCCCCATATTCATTTATTTAAACTATAAAATATTCAGCGCCTACAAACGTAACCACAACTAAACACACACCAAACAACTTTTTAGATTTCATAAAAGGATGGTTAGTCTAATTGCAGTATCCTAGGTCAATGATGACGTTGTGTTCAATCTATGTCATTCATCTGTATATCTTTAGATAAAACCCGTCTGAGGTTGTGGTGGTAATTTAAATCGTATTCCTGAGAATTCTTGATCTCCATCTTTATGACATCAATATTTCCGGCCTAATTCAAACAAAGTTCAAGCATTAAAAAACATTGATTGTAAACAAAAAGTTGCCAAGATGAATTAAAACATTTAAAAATTTTGATTTTCCTACCCTTTCCATAAAAGTTGATGAGTAAAATAATTTGCATATTACTTTTATTTAAACTCGTGTACAGGGCCTCGACTTGTACACATCGATGGTGTTACTTATCTCGGTGGTCTACTAATCTTACTTATTTCCTATAATCAATGACAAAATCAGAGTAAATAACCTGATAGTTCTATAGGGCATTTTTATAATTAACCAGCTGTTAGTTAAAACAAATTATATTGCACTAAAACAAACCGAAGATTACAAAGATTACTTAAAAAAATAATTTGAACATCCTAGTATTTTACTATGTATATCTATTTAAATAATCCGTCATCCTCTTATCGAAGGATTGAACTAGGGATGGTCAAGTCTCGAAATTTCGGGAAATTTTCGGGAAATTTTAAATCTCGTTACACGAGACGAGATTTCTTTTTGGCCGAGATTTTTATCGAGACGAGAATAAAAAAAAAATACCCCCGCCGCAGCAAACCTGCAAACTAAGCGAATTTCCATTTGACTGATTGGATTTACACTGAAATGTCTACTTAAAAATATAACATTTATTCTCTATTTAAATAGAATTAGTTTAACTAGTACTTAGGTTTGCTGCATCAGGGAGGGTAAAACTGTTTTTTTTTTTTTTTTTTTGTAAAACGTTAATAGTTAGTAAGAAATAAAAACATTTTCCAAATGTGATCAAAATATGTTCATAAACAAGCAAACTACAACAATTTACTTATTCTCCATAAGAATAACATGGGAATTTCAAAAATATACAATTTTTTTGAATTTTCTCCGTAACCATTAGGCGCATAATAACGCTTCAATATACTAAATTATTTGTTTTTTTTTAAGCTCTACAAAATGGTTTGGAAAGAAATTGCTAAATTTTATGTTTTTGGGTCAAAAATGGGAAAAACCTATTTTTACCCCATAAAACACCCCGTAAACCCCCGTTCCCATGGTCCGATCATGCTGGATCGCGAACTCGTTCGAATAAACGTAGGTTTACACGTTTGTACCAAATTTCATTAAAATCGGATCATTTTTGCTTGAGTTATCGTGCTAACGGACACATATACAGGGTGTCTCAGACCACCCGGCCGGCTTGTATAGCTCCAATATGAAAGCAAATGGAAACCTAATTGCAACTGGAACCCCCTATTTTGACCCCAAGGAATTCAGCTAAATTATTTTCAACCCCAAAAAAGCACCCCAAAGGGCAGTTTTTGGGGGGTGGGGGTGGTTTTTGGGAAATTTTCAAATGTAAAGGGGGGTCGTGTTACACCTCTTGTTAAAGGTCCTTTAGTCCTGAGTATTTTAGTGGAAAAAGATTTAAATTATCTTCATCCCTATTTACAGGGTGTTCAAAAACGTACAAAAAATAGACCTTTGAACTACTTTTCACTGTAAAGAGGTGGAATTTCGTGGGGGGTTCAAATTTTGACAACTCTTTAATTAATAAATGAGCTTTCAAAAAACTTTGGTTTTAACCCTTTTGCTATCTTTTTACTTATGTTACGCATTTTCAAACTTTTTGAAGTTTCAAAAGCTGTTATCTCAAAAATTTTAAATAGCTACATAGGTTTCATTACAAACCACATTGTAGCCCTTAAAATTTGCTATAATTTTTGTATTTAATGTTTTTTGGTATCTTCATTGGTTAAAGAAATATAGCGAAATTAGTGTATTTTAATGTTTTATTAAATGGTATTCAAAGTGTTTGCTGTTGTAAATGTACACGTCTAGGTCTCAATTAAAACTAATTATGTAAAACAATTAAAATACTACCCATATTGTTAAGCTTGGAGGATTAATCAAGGAAAAAACACAACTGCAAATATTCTTAGTTATTTTACAATTCCATGGCTCTAATAGTGCTTTGAATGAATAATTTGTTTCAATCAGCATTAATAGCCTACATACCGGGCTTCTACAAATGCTTAAATTGCCTTCCATTTTGTTCCATGCAAACCCCAACTCTGTTTATGCACGTAGTACTTCTTCTCCACTATTATGGTACTGTATTGCTATTTTACTACCGCAGGTGCATGCACCTCTCGTACAGATCCAGTATTTCCTTATACTTTGTTTTATCTGATCAAACGTGACCAGTTTCACGCACACGCTCATTGATTTCATGATGATTTTTTTATTTACCAGAAGCATTTATAGACAGTATTCATTCAAAGCACTATTAGAACTTTAGGGGTGCTTTTTTGGGGTTGAAAATAATTTAGCTGAATTCCTTGGGGTCAAAATAGGGGGTTCCAGTTGCAATTAGGTTTCCATTTGCTTTCATATTGGAGCTATACAAGCCGGCCGGGTGGTCTGAGACACCCTGTATATATATATATAAATATATAAATATATATATATATATATATATATGAATTTGAACGGATGGTGTTTTTGGCCTCTAGGGACCTCAAAATGAAAAAAAAAATCGGTCCCGCGTCCAGGTCTTACCATGAGTACTACGGTAATAGCTTATTCCCTATATGGGAAATTCGCTAAAAAAATTAAAAACGCCTGCAGAAAGTCAATGCAATACCCGCAATACAGAAGCGTGATGTAGTTGCGTTTCCTTTGCGAAGGCGTTCTTATTTAATTAATTCTTTAAATGTAAATATTACTTTAATTATTTTAATAATATTACTTTAATAACATTTGAGAAGTTTTGTTAAGTGTAAGCAGTGTGAGGAATGTTTTATTACTATAAAAAGTCAAAACCAACTATTTTATAAAAATTAATATTGCTTTTATTTTATGATTTATTTTATTTTAGGATAAGTTGAACTCTATCCTAACTGATATCACTATGTTTCCTAATCGTAGGCATTTTTAATAAGTTAGGCGTGATTAATAAAAAATGTTATGCTGATGTTTTTTAATAAAAGATTGTAAATATTCTTGCCTATCATTATTTTTGTATTTAAACAGTCATCTAACAATGTTACAAAATCAGGTAAAAATTTTGAACTTGCATTTCCCGTTGTATATGAGAAGGGAAATCCCGTCTCGATCTCGTCTCGAAATTTTATGAGAAATAAAAAATCTCGTCTCGTCTCGTCTCGAACTAAAAATCCAATCTCGTCCATCCCTAGATTGAACGTATCAATGATTATAATACATAGTATATAACTATGATTATATTATAGTATATGATTATATACATAGTAGTATACACATAGTATAAATAAGTCAACCCTTAGTATGTCTTTTAATTTTATCCAAATGCTGAATTTGAGTTACAAACGCTGAATGTTTACAACTGTTATGTTAAGCAAATTATATTATACCAAAAGCTAGTTTAGAATCTTAGCGTCGGCTGCTAGACTTTTCAAAAATTAAAAGTTAATTTCTAAATAACTGGGACCTTGAACTAAAATTATGGCTTTGACATTCCCTAGTTCTCAAAATTATCTTTCTTTCAACACAAAAATCATAAAAATCGGTCGAGTGGTTGATTCAGAATCGTGAAATAAAAAAAACCCTCTTACGTTTTAATATTATAGATTTCAACCCAGTAACCTTGTTATAAAAATCAGGGTCTACCTTGCATGAATTGGGGTAGTAGGTTTCTTTTTTTTATGTTGTTTGTAATAGTACCCAGATGCTAAATCCAAATTTTCGACCTCGGGGACCGCCGACCTTCCGGATCACCTCCAAAAAGTGTAAAAATCTGCGGCATTTCGCACTATTTTTACGTTTGTCCGATTTTGACCCTGAAGCATCATTTTTCCAAAAAGAACAACCATTATCATTTTTTAAGTACATTAAATCACCTATCATTTAAGATCAAAATGATTATTACAGGCCTAATAGTTTCCAAGATATGACTCAGCAAACAACGGCTAAAATTACCAAATTTTGAACTTTTTTAAAGTTTGGCTGACGTTAACCCTAAAGCATAACTTTCTCATTATTTTTCATTAAAACAACCATAACTACTTTTAAACTATGTTAAACTAGCTGTACCCGCGGGCCTTGCCCCGCTTAACTTCATAAGTATTCGCATGGCTCAATCACGTCCTGGTTGAAGTTCATTCGCTACGCTCACTCACCTTCAGGTTGGAAATCGTTCACTGCGCTCTCTTGTTTTCAGGTTAGCTCGTTCGCTACGCTTACTCGCCTCCAGGTTCATGTTCGTTCGCTACGCTCACTCACCTTTTGGTTGCAAATTAGCTGTTGTCATAAATTTAAAGAAGTCATCCCTTTTATTGTTTATAATATTTTGATGAAGGTTTTTATGTTTTTAATATTTAACATTGAAGAATTTAAACGTTGTTGAGTGCACAGGTGTGCTGCGATTGGGGTTTATAAATTTGGACTTATTCAAAAGTAAAATAGTTTTCTGTGCTGCACTCTGTAGAAACACTGTAGCACTATTTCAAATCATGACTAATGCTAATACAGAATGTTGTGATTATTAACCTACAAAACAATTGGTGAAAGTAAACATATGCTTTTAAATTATATTTATTTGTAAACATTGTAGATCAAAAAGTCTGACATTGGCCCACTTAAAACCCTCTGGGGCAGAGCCCTTTTGACGGATCTGCACCAAACTTCACTCGAACCATCCTTGAAAGATGCTTAATAAAGCCTGAAAGTTTCATTACAATCTGTCGAGCGGTTTCGGAGTCCATAACGTATATACACACACACTTATATATATATACATACATAGTTCCTCTTTTATAGATATAGATTACTCACAGTTTAAGACCAAAATGGTGATTATAGGCCTAGCACATTGAGAGATATGCCTCTTCAAGGTTCATAAAATCATCCATAAATGCTTGTATTTTAAAACGTTTTTATTAGATCGCTTTCTTGTCTGGTACAAATTTTGCAATCGATTTTATACTAAGTTCCCGATGAGCTAGAGACTTGAAACTTGAAACATAGCTCACAAATGGATGACAATGCAATATTATATCATTTAATTTTCATATTTCCCTTGGGCTACGCCCCATGGGCTTGTTTTTATTAGCTCGCTAAGTCGCTTTCCTATACATTTTGATATCAATCTTTTAACCCTAGCAGTGGTCAATGTTAGAAGTGGGGAATGGCCAACCCATTTAGGCGATTTTGCAGACCTTTTTTTGAAAATTCGTAAAAGTTCAACCGTACAAGTAAACCTAGCCAACCTCATATTCATTTTGTTCGGAAAGAACAAATAGGTATCTCTAATGGTTGAAAAGTTAAGGGGGGTGCAAGTTACTTTTCAGCCACCCTGTTTATATAGATATTGTAAAATGTTGTATTTTGCTTGTTTATGGATTATTTTTATCAAATTTGGAAAATTTATTTATTTTATACTAAGCTATTAATATTTTACCCTAATAATACACTTTATTAGTTTCCTTGTAGAAGCAAACCTAGGTACTCATTAATTAAACCTAATGTTATTTAAATTTATTTAATTGAAAATCAATTCAGACAAATGGAAATTCGCTTAGTCGGCAGGTTTGCTGTGGTGGGGGTATTAAATATATAAATTCCATCAGATTATTTAGAACAGCGTTTCCTAAACAAAAATAGAAACAACCAGTCCAAAAATATCTACAACTTAAAAAACGATTTCTTCTTTATGTACTTAATATGCTTATAATACATTTCTTTATGCACCAGGCTGCTAAGAAAACCGAAAACGTCACAAAAATCCTGAGAAACATGGTGTATGACATTGAAAGGCAGAACCATTCGTTAAAACCACATTTCTGTGCTCAAAGAGAAAAGAACGAAGGAACACCACTGATGATGAATACAATCGTGAGAAGTCCTCGCCTTGATGGTTATAGGAACAAGTGTGAATTCACAATAGGTATGTGATAAATTAACTAATCGAAATAACTAATAGGTTAAGGATGTAGGCCTACTGTCGGGGAAAAAAAGTTTAGACACTTGAGTTTGGAGCTCTATAGAAAAGTAACCAACAAACTTAGAAAAACACGTAGTATATATAAATTTTCGTTGTTTTATTCTACGTATCCTTGTGAAAACAAAATTTTTTTAGCTTGTTTAGGAAATTTTTTATGACAGTCGGAAGGTAAAAACTGCCTGTTTTTAGAGTACCAAAAACCATCTTATGACTTAGAAAATTCACACTAAACGGCAGAACTTATCAACTTTTTCTCAAAAACGGCAAACGCTAGAAAAAAAATTATAAGCTTGTTTCGAAGGTGATTGTTTTTGTATTTGAAATATTGATACTGCTCAACCAAATTGTTACGCATGTTATTTATATAAGTTAACAAAAAACTGGATGATCTCGCGCGTAAGGGGTGCAAACACCATCGCCCGCTCAGGAATCCAGTGCAGTGTTGCCACGATGGACCTTGACTGAGCATAAGGTGATTCACGCAGTGTGTGTCACTGACTGACTCACAGGAAATATCATGTTTTGCATTCTTCCTAAGGGTCGAAAGTATTACCACCCCAAATATAGGTGCTAAATCTAAATTGTCAGATTCGGAATATGCAATGATTGTCAGTGCTATATGTTTTTTTAGAAGTGTGGGAGTGACATTGGAGGTCCAAAGCCCTCATTAGAAAAGGTGATGGGAAATGGTTAATAATTAATAACTGCTGTTCATTTTTGACTCAACAGTTCACAGCCCATCGCTGCTCAGTGTCCAGGTGTTCAATTTGGCAACACTGTACGGGGTATGCGCCCAGTCAGAGCCGGTGGCGGTCTGGAAGTGCCGTATTCGGCCTCTGCACTATCCAAATTAAATGTTAACTTATATAAATAATATGCGTAACAATTTGGTTGAGCAGTATCAATATTTAAAATACAAAACCAATCACCTCCAAAACAAGCTTTTAAATTTTTTTCTAGCGTTTGCCGTTTTTGTGAAAAAGTTAGTTTACAAAAGTTACAACAAAAACTTTTTGGGTAGAGTAAAAATTCTGAAACTACACAAATTAATTCATTATATATGTGTCTATATTGTATTAAAATTTGATAAAGTTCTGACGTTTAGTTTACATTGTGCAAATTTTCAAAGTCATAACATGGTTTTTGATACTCTAAAAACAGGGAGTTTTTACCTTCCGACTGTCATAAAAAATTTCCTAAACGAGCTAAAAACTTTTTGTTTTCACAGGAATACGTAGAATAAAACATTGAAAATTTGTATATACTATGTGTTTTTATAAGTTAGTTTGGCCACTTTTCTGTAGAGCTCCAAACTCGAGTGTCTAAACTTTTTTCCCTGACAGTAATGTAAATATGTATGTAAGCCTGCTTACTAGGTTGGATATTGAAGTGGATTGGATGGAATGCGCTATCATGACGGTGGTCTAGATTTTGTAAACTACTAATAAGATCATTCCAATCTTCTCAACTGTGACTGGTTACTTTGAGTAGACAGGAATTTGACTATTAGCAAATTGGAATAAGCTATTACCGTAGTACTCATAGTAAGACCTGGACCCATTCTGACTTTGCTGCCAGAGCCGGACTCGTTGTCGTCAACGAGGGCAACACGCCAACTTTCCGGCGCCCTGGGATGCAGGGAATGATCCCAGACATTACCCTTGCATCTGAGTCTCTTTTGCCAAGGATCAGAGCCTGGAGAGTCCTGGAGGATTACACGGCCAGTGACCACCAGTACATAATTTTTGATGTCCTGGATGGTCAACAAAGACAAGTAGCTGCGTTTCGTCAAGTGCCCGTTTGATGGAATTTAAAAAAATTGGATGTGGCAAAATTCAATGAAGCCATCTTACGAGGAACGCCGGTGGTTCCTCCCGCAACTAGCGTGGCTCACGCAGAGGCGGTAGTTACATCCATGATGGGACTGATGGCTGACTCGGCTTGCGATGAGTCTATGCCTCGCAGGAGATCCCGGTGCAATAAGCGACCTGTGTACTGGTGGACTGCCGAGATTGCGGAATTGTGTCGGTCAGCATTGAGAGCCAGAAGACTTGCTACCAGGGCCAGAGAACCTGTAGACAAGACGTCATAAGTCGGATGCTTACAGAGTGGCTAGGAGGTCTCTTCGTCGAGCCATCAACCGGAGTAAACGCAGTTGCTAGGAGACATTAAGGGACGATGTCGATTCCAATCCGTGGGGCCTGGGTTACAAACTTGTAACCAAGAAACTTGGCACCCGCTCTCCACCTTCCGTCATGGATGGGCGTGACTTTGATTTATAGAGTGTTATTTCAACGAAATTTCGAATTACTGAGTTACTTTGAATTATAGAGTGTTTTTCCGACGAAACTTTAAATTACTGCGTGTTACAAATTGACCTGCCCTCTATTTGGACTTTGAAATACCGAGTGTATCGAAATGCATGGTAAAAATTTGAAATATTGAGAGATTCTCTAGGGACTGAGCCTTCATTTTGAATTATCGAAAGTTTTGAATTATCAAGTGTTTGAATTACCAAGAGTGGACTGTATCTATATATATATGTATATATATATATATATATTATTTAATTAAAGACTTGAACCATCACAAAATGAGGTATCACTTGATGGGTTCTTATGTTTTGTAGGGATGGACGAGATTGGATTTTTAGTTCGAGACGAGACGAGACGAGATTTTTTATCTCTCATAAAATTTTGAGACGAGATCGAGACGGGATTTCCCTTCTCATACACAACGGGAAATGCACGTTCAAAATTTTTACCTGATTTTGTAACATTGTTGACTGTTTAAATAATGATAATAGGCAAGAATATTTACAATCTTTTATTGAAAAACATCAGCATAACATTTTTTTATTAATCACGCCTAACTTATTAAAAATGCCTACGATTAGGAAACATAGTGATATCAGTTAGGATAGAGTTAAACTTATCCTAAAATAAAATAAATCATGAAATAAAAGCAATATTAATTTTTATAAAATAGTTAGGTACTTGTTTTGACTTTTTATAGTAATAAAACATTCCTCACACTGCTTACACTTAACAAAACTTCTCAAATGTTATTAAAGTAATATTATTAAAATAATTAAAGTAATATTTACATTTAAAGAGTTAATTCAATAAGAACGCCTTCGCAAAGGAAACGCAACTACAACACGCTTCTGTATTGCGGGTATTGCATTGACTTTCTGCAGGCGTTTTTAATTTTTTTTTAATTTTTTTTTATTCTCGTCTCGATAAAAATCTCGGCCAAAAAAAAATCTCGTCTCGTGTAACGAGAGGCCAGAGGTGTGTTATACCTTCTGTGTGTATTTTGTAAGGTATCGACAGTGAGACAGGGTTACCTACTGTTGGCATGAGACTGGGCAGTTATGCTACTGGTGTTGTCGGAGTGGCACCCGTGCAAGATCTTCCTCATGTGTCTGATCGCATGAAGCATGCTGTCAAGGTAAGGTTGGAAGATATCTTGATGAGTTAGAAATTTAATGATATTGAAGAAGAATTAGAAATATATACTTTGAAAATACTCTCCTTTATTTTTACAAAATTGTTAAAATTATGTTTTAATGTAATTTTCACTGTTGTAATTGAGGAAAGGGTTTACATAGAACTCAAAAAGTGATTAACTTTTTGGTTTTTGGCTTGTCTTGGTTGTTAAAAAGGACCAAAAAACTATCTTGTGCTCATTATATTCTTAATAACCTCACTAGTACCATAGACAAAAAGAATTAAATATAGACTGTCAGCCGTGCTACGGTTACCATGGTTACCATAGGTTTTGACGCACACCGCTTGGAGCGCCGTGTAGTTTCGTAGCTAACTACACGGCACCAAGCGGTGTGCGCCAGAACCAACGGTAACCCCAGCACCGCTGACGGTCTATATTTAATTATTTTTGTCTATGCTAGTTTTTTTTTTTTTTTTACGCTAGGCACGAGCCTGGGATTGTTTTTCACATTACTTCAGGCTAGACCTAGGGGTTGCGGCATTATCACTTAGATAAAATCCATTGGTGACTTGGCGGGGTCATAATGAAACGTCATAATCAGCTGAGCTGTTATCATCAGTTATTATAACAACAGATTGTTTTCTTATTGTAACTGTGATATGGATCGCAGGTCGAGGTTCATTAAATGATAAACATGTAAACGTTGGCATGGGTTTATTAAAAGTGACCGAGCACTCGATGAGGTCTAACGGTACAGTTCAAACTCAGTACAGTCCAAGTACAACAACAATAGTACAGTCTGGGCGAATGATATAAAACTAACATGATATATATAAAAGAACATATTATGACATCTCCCTCTTTTAAAAAGAAAAAATTACATTTTTTTTTAAATAAAATATTCGATTTTTTTTTCAAAATTAAACATTACTTTTACATACCAACAGTTTTTTTTTTTTTATTTAAGTTTGATTTTCATAACAAATTAAACTAAGCCTAACATATCTGAACAGCAATATAATCATCAAAGTGAATTTACAATAGTCATAAAATTACCAAATATAAATTTACAATACAAAACCAAAATATTAATTTACGATACAATTAATAATCAAAATATGAATTTAATAAGGCATAGTTACTAGCCTAAATGAAATCAATAGAGCGCAAATTTCAAAGTATTAAAAATAAACAGGGTTATCGGAAACAACAGTTAATCATAAAAAATATACAGAGTTTGAAAGTTACCACAAGAATTATAGACACGTTAGGCTAAGTACAATAAAAGAAACATAAACATGGATATTACAATAAAAAATTAAAATACTTCAAGTTAGGCCTACCTATACAATAAATCATTAGGGCCTACAAATTCATTTTGTCGACAGGTTTTATCATACGGCCAGAACGGGTCGTGTAGTGATTGTGGTCAGCGGGAAAGTGTACATGTCTAGGACTGTTAGGCCTTTCAGGAGAGGTTACTTCTTTGGCAGGAGACAAAGTTGGTCTTAAAGGAGATTGGCTATGCCGTAGGCTATGGGAAGGAGACTTGATTGGGGATCTGGTCTTTACAGGCGATTTCGGGTTAACACCAGGTACATCATTACTACTGACAAAATAAGGCTTGCATGATACATTGAATGGACGGAGATCCCGTCTGTTTCTAACATAAGTCTTGTCTGAACGTTCACTTTGTACAATATAAGACCTAGGCTCATCTCTCTTTCCAACAATTTGACCTTTTACCCATTTGTTTTTGTATTTCATCAAGGCATGTTCATTTACCTGCAAAGGCCTTAAGGGCTTTGCACCTCTATCATAATACCTTTTTTGAGAGTCCTGTCTTAAAATTAAGTTTTTTCTAACATTTTTCTGTACTCTAGGCCTAAGCATTTTTTCTTGACATGGCAAAATACCATTAAGTTTCCTACTGAAAAGAATTTCTGCTGGAGAAGGCAGATTACAACTGATTGGCGTATTTCTTAATTCTAAGAGAGCCAAATACAAATTAGTTTTTTCAAGCACAGACTTTTTGATCAGATTTTTAACACTTTGAACAGCTCTTTCTACCATCCCATTTAATTGCGAATAATGAGGACTTGTGCGTACATGTTTGAATTCCCAACACTTCGAGAAATTTTCAAACTCACTACTGTTAAAACTAGTATCAAAACCAGAAATCACAACTCTAGGAATACCATGTCTGCTAAATACAGATTTCAAACTATTTACAACATAAACACTAGTCATATTTTGCAAGATCACTACTTCAACATATTTAGAAAGATAATCAACAACTAGTAAAAACTTTTTATCTTCAAAAAAGAAAATATCAATGCCTACCTTGTCCCAAGGTAGCTTTGGTACCTTGTGTGGCATCAGAGGTTCCTTTACATTGCTGTTTGCATTCAAAATACATGTTTCACACTTTGATATAACATCTGAGATTTGGGAGTTCATTTGCGGCCAATACATTACATTTTTTGCCCTTAGCTGAGTTTTGGTTACCCCTAGATGTGGATAATGTAACCTTTTGAGCATTTCATTTCTGATTACCCTCGGAATCACTATGCACGGTCCCTTAAATAACAAACCATTACAATTGGTTAAGTCATCTTTAACAGACCAATATTGTTGCACAGATTCTGGAAGCTTACTTTTGTGGTTAGGCCACACATTACCTTTAACAAACTTAAGCAATGTAACAAGTTCACTATCATTAGCAGTATACGCTTTTAACTTAGACATGTTAATAGGATCAACATTCAGGTTTTGAGTTACATAATTAACATGAGCTTCTATGTCATCAGTGTCCAAGTTGAGTTCACTAGTATCGGAGCCATCAAAAGAACGGGACAAAGTATCCGCTATGAAAAGTTCTTTGCCACGTTTGTACACTAAATTAATGTCATACTGCTGCAATTTTATTAACATCCGCTGTAGCCTAGGGGGACACGAATCAAGATTCTTCTTGAAAATTGCTACCAGTGGTTTATGGTCCGTTTCCACAGTGATGGTTGATCCAAATATGTACTGATGAAAACGTTCGCAGCCAAACACCACGGCTAAGAGTTCCTTTTCAATTTGGGAGTAACGTCTCTGCGTTTCATTTAACGCTTTGCTGGCATAGGCTACAGGCAGATTGTCTTGTAGCAGTGCACTACCTAAACCATTTTGAGAGCTATCTACAGTCAGTACAATAGGCTTGCTTACATCAAAGAACTGTAAAACAGGTCTGTTTGTTAACAATGATTTAAGTTTTTCAAAAGCCTTTTGTTGTTCATGTTGCCAACTAAAAATACAATCTTTTTTTAAAATAGAACGTAGAGGTGTTGTGTGCTCGGATAGGTTAGGTATGTACCTATTTACATATGTCACAAGACCTAAAAATCGTTCCAAAGACTTGCGGTCTGTTGGAGGTTCCATACAGGTTATTGCTCTGATTTTACTTTCATCAATGTCAATGCCATTTTGTGTACATTTATGCCCAAGATACTTAATTTCTGTTGTGCCTATTTTACATTTCTCTTTATTTAGCTTAATATTTTCAACTCTCATTTTGTCTAAAACTAACTTTAGTCTCGCATCGTGTTCCGCTTTTGTACGACCCCACAAAATAATATCATCAACGTAAACCTCGACCCCTTCAAATTCATCAAAGATTTGTCTCATTTTTTGCTGGAACACCTCACTAGCAGAGCATATACCGTATGGCAACCTCAGAAATTTGTAGTGACCAAAGGGGGTATTGAATGTGCATAGATCCGAAGACTTGGCGGTTAACTTCACATGCCAAAACCCATTTTTACTGTCAAGAGTACTGAAAAACTTAGCTCCAGCCATTTTGGCGGAAATTTCTTCAAAAGACGGAATTTGGAAATGAGGCCGTATTATTGCAGCGTTAAGATCTTTCGGATCTAGGCACAGTCGCATATCTCCATTGTTCTTAGCAACTATGACTAACGATTGAACCCATTCTGTAGGCTTAACTACTTTCTCAATTATTTCATGTTTGACCAAATTGTCTAGTTTCTTTTTTAATTTAGGTTTTAATGCATAGGTTTAATTTATAGGTTAAAATTTTAATTTATAGGTTAAAATTTTAATTTATAGGTTTAATTTAATGCATAGGTAATGATATATATAAAAGAACTTATTATGACAGTAACTATTAGAGAGTAATACTATAGACTAAGCAAAAGCTATTTTTTATCAATGGTAATAAACAAAAAATGCTTTCTGTTACTAAATCTTACAAATATCTGTATTATAGTCCAGGTTTCATTTGATTTCTATAACTAATAGCCTACTGTATGTGCCTATTAAATTATTCAGTACAATGTTCAATCTACAATTAATTGTTTTGTTTAACACTAAGGGAGGCTACTTGTAGGCCTATTTAAATACTTTATTTTGAACATAAATTTTGAGTATTTTTGACAGAATGTTTGTTTACAATTAACAGACAAGATTAGAAAATTTAATATTCTTTAATTTTAAAAATTTATTTTTCCTTTACCCACTGTCAAACCACTGGAAATTGAGTATGCCCACTGTTACAAAAACCACACCAACTAAGAAAAATGGTAATAAACTTACAAAACTAAAGATGAAAAGGTAGGAAATAAAATTTAAAGTTGTAGAATAACCTACTTTATATTGTAATTGCAGCCTTAATAACGAATAGATGCAAGTATTAAGTAATTTTAGCCAAGTATTGTGCAATATTACTTATCAATAGGGATTAATGTAATTAATTTTTAGATAAATTAATATATGCTCACTTACTTATTTGTTGTAGAAGTGGAAGTTCATTTATGAGCTATATTGTTGTTGTTTTAAAATTATTTTTCTATGCATTCTATTGATATGTTACTGCACAAATATTAATAATTAATTAATTTATAATCGTACTTCAGCTTGTAACAAGGTTGTTTTACAAGTTACATGTTCTAGGCCTAAGGAGTTACTTAAACTTACACATCCTATGATCTTTTTGGTTTAAACTCGACTCAAACTCAAGAATCATAGTTTTTTTTGCCAATTACTCGACTAGACCAGAAAAACCTGTGCTTGCACATCTGTAAAAACGTCCTTTATAAAGTTTTAAGTATTGTATACTAGCTGTTACCCACGGGCTTCAACCCGTTTGACTTCATAAGTATTACCGGTAATATAACTATTGATTGGTTAAGTTAAGCTGAAATAAACAAAACATATTACAGCATTAATTTTAATAAGAGTACCTGGGGACCGAGCTTTGCTTGGGGAAAATCATTCCCCCACTCTGTGATGCCAGCATTTACTACTTCCTTCACCATTTCCTACGTCATGGACATGTTTCCATCCCTTCTCATAGCATTTCAGTATTTCATTTCAGTTCATTTCTTAGCTTTGTAATTTCATTAATTAAAACTGTACTCTGTACAATATTGTAAATAAAATCTGCCATTTGATACAGCACATTCCAAAGTAATTATTGCTTTACCGTACACATTTATTTTGCTCCAGGTGTTTGAAGAGTTTGTCAGATCATTGTCTCTGCCAGTGTTTGATCCTGAGACCTACACCGGCCACTGGCGTCAACTGACCATCAGGTGGGCGACTCGCACTGATCAGCTGATGCTGGTCGTCGGAATACACCCGCAGCAGATGACCAATGAGGAGAAGGAATCGTTCAAAGAGGGACTCAAAGACTTCTTTACTGCAGGGGAAGGAAGGGCTTTGAACGTGACATCCCTTTACTATCAGGAGATTACAAAAAGGTTGCTATTATAATGAGAATTTCAATACCAGTTTTTTACATCCTTAATACAATTACTTAACACTCACTCCTAAGTTGTATATTATGTAAAAATTAAAAATGAGCGCAATAATCTATTCATTTGACTTTTTTTATGAGTCTCTTAAAGCCTTTCACACCCTATGTTTGACTAATGGATAATTAACTATCAACTAATACCAAAGTGTACCATTATAAAAGTATGGATTATATGTCCCAAAGCAGTGTGAGCAGTTCAATTTCTGAGCTGACCTGACCCTAGGTCATCAGCTAGAATAAAGGAGCACCAAGTCAGAAAATCAAGCTCGAACCGACCTTATACTTCAGCGACATTATTGTAGACGTTTTTATGAAGATTGCACGGTCAAAAAATTTACTCCTTAATTTATACTTAAAAATCTACACCAAAATTGCAGGCGACAGTAATAATGCTTCCGCTACAGTGGGAGCTGTTCCCAATTTTTCTGCTATTGCAGAAGACAATGATCATGGGCGTTTTCACACTACACAGCACGTCGCCAGCACAGCGCTGGCCCGTCGACGTCGGTAATGTTATCATATGAGAGCGTACACACCGGTGCTGTGACGGTGACTTACTGGCGACGTGACGGTACATGCTGGCGAGTTGCTGGCCCCCTGATGTCGCTGTTGCCGTGCAGTCACCGTCTGTCAGTAGTCTCAGTCAGTGTCAACATCACAGCCCTGGCCTGAGTAGTACAAGGTGCATGCTTCGTTTGCAATATGGAAAAAGAAAGTGTTACGTTTAAGTACTACGTCGTCTCGCTCACTCAGCTTGTAGAGTCTAAGCCCTGTCTTTGGGACATAACTAATGAGGACAATATAAACAAAATTATTAGAGAGAAGGCGTGGAAGGAAATATTCCAATTTATGGAAGATGGCTATGTTGAGCTAAGCATAATAAATATAATCTTTGATTAGTCAGCCATGTTGCTTCTACCAAATCTAAAAAGCTGACTGCACTTACTGCAGTAAAAATGTTGTGCTCTTAACGTGTCGTTGCTGTCAAGTGTCTAAAGACCCCTGCCGTTGCAGTGCTGTTGCTGTTGGTGTTGCAGTGCTGGCGACGTGCTGTTGACGTGTGCTGTGTAGTGTGAAAACGCCCAATGTCTACTTGACTGCGGGGGGTGTCCAGGATTTAGAAGTTATCGTGGAAGACAAAGATGATGTTTATGTGACTGCGGGAGATATTTAGAATTTAGCTATGGTTAATGAAGGCAATGATGAAGTTATTGTGGGTGCAGGAGATATAAATGTTTTATCCGTAATCACAGAAGACGATGATAATGATGTTTCGGTGACTGCGGGAGGAATTCAGGATATTGCTGCATTTGTGGGAGATGGTGATTTAAATGTTGAAGGTCATTGTATAACAAGGTGCTGACATTTACTTTTAAGATTTCTTTTTAATAGTAAAACTGTTTACGAAGAAACGTTTTTTATAACCTACAACAAGTTTCTATGTAACATAGATTAGGTACTAGATATCAATATGTTCAAGAGCCAAAATAGATATTTCTCTTAAAATTTTTTAAATATTTTAAAATCTACATCATAATATTAAATTTCATATTGAAAAGAAGATTTGTGACAAGTAATTTGCTATATATTGAAACATCTTAATTCATTATCCAAAAAGCTTTGCTCAAACTATAAAAAACTTATAAAAAAAGTTTGAGGCTCAAACTTTTCTTCAAAAGCTTGGCTAGACCAATAATCTCAAACTTGCACATCTCTGTTGGTAGACGGAGCGGGGAGGAGGAAGTGCTCCACCTGGTGTCAGGAGAGCCTCAGATATCAGAGCAGCTGTGTGGGCTCTGCTTTAGCATCTCTCCTTTGTCTTTCTTCCAAGTGAATACCGAAGCTGCGGAGTTGCTGTACGATGCTGTGGGTACGCTGACACAGCTGACTGTGGAGACTACACTAGTGGACGTGTGCTGCGGCACTGGCAGCATCGGACTGTCACTGGCCAAGGTAGAGATGGAAAATAAATACCATTACTTTTTAGTAATAGTCAGGAACGTTTCTTAGTTTTTTGGTAATAGGCAAAATAACACTATTATATTGGTCATTAATTATTTCCCCTTCCAGCGTTATTTCACTTGTTCGGGTGCTACGACGTTTTAAAAATAATATAATTCTCAGTAAACAATTACCTAGCGTTCGATATTAATTAATATAATAGGACGACACGGTCAGCGTAATTTCACTACCTCATTCTAACGGTTCAGAAAACTTACAAAAATAATAGGGTATTCTCAGTAAACTGTACCAAGGTAATAGGTGACTCTTCAGTAACAGTGTTATTTATCCTATTACGTTATTCTTAACATCCATCTGCAATCACTGAGGAACAAACAAGGGGAACATGGCAGTTTGAAGAGACTGCAGAGAGGTGTATTGACTAAACAAATGTCAATCAATGGTGATGCTTTTGTAGTGTAAATTATGGATATTGGATATACATTATTGCTATGATTTATACAGCAATCAAAGTCAAATTACAGGGTGCCTAGTAGTCGGGAAAAACGTAAAGTTGGGAATTAGTATTGTATTTCAAAACGGTCTTGAAAAGTCGGGATTTAGTCTTTATTTTGATATCAAAGAAGGGAATTTTCATGATTTTGCCGCGATCGCGCCAGACGACGATCACATTTCCGTGACCGCGGGAGATGATGACGTCTACATGGCCGTGGAAGATATTCATGAGTTTGCCGTAGGTTGCCATTTTTGAGCACTTGGGAAAATGGCGGGCGGCGACCTATACTCAACATTTGACCGCCAAGGGTTAATAATACTTTATGACATAAAAGGGGTTGGTGTAGTATGACAAAATTATTTTGATAATTTGGTTGAACTAGAAAAATTGGTATTGGTATCAAGAATCAAAAATCAATAGATTTTGGTATGAACACATCACTAACTGTTGAAAAAAACTAGCCTTGAAAAATCTGGAATCAGTCTCGAATTTTAAAATAGAAATAAACTAGACACTCTGAATCAAGATGATGACAATTGCTGCTTACAAATACTGCATGTTACTCTGAAAGGATAATCAATTGCAAAAGCAAATCAGAAATCTCATTGTAGGATTTGATAAAATACCATTCAAAAAATGGTTAGATTTTGTTTTTGATACCAAATCATGGCTTACCTGTACACATGAGACAGACCATCTGTATTTACAAGCACAATAGGATGATCGTCAGATTGTCTGTTTGGTTGGCAAAGTCCACTTTCCTCTGCATCATCAGCAGGACAACAACACTGCACTTTTTAAAATAGTTTTAACATAATAATTGTTCAAACTCACCTAAAACTAATGTTTAATTCAGACTATTTTATCTATACAGGGTGAATAAAAAGTCAAGACCCCCCCCTCTAATATTTTTCCAAGTAAATATACAGAGATATCCTTTTGGTGGTCGAGTAATCTCAGCAGGAAGTTTTATTTTATCATTTTGAAATTTTTTAGTGTCCCACCAAAAGGGGGATTTGGGGGGCAACTCAAATATTTTAAATGTAAACCCCCTTCAAGTGACACCTCATTTTGAAGTGTTTAAAAAAACTTAAAGAATGGTGAAAATTAGAGGTCGCTATCTCTTCTCTATCCAAAATGGTAGCCCGTCAAATGTTGTGGAAAATCAATGGTAAAATTGTTAATATTGGCTGTCATTTTGGATAGAGAAGAGATAGTGAGCTCTGGTTTTCACCATTCTTTAAGTTTGTTTAAACACTTCAAAATGAGGTGTCACTTGAAGGGGGTTTACATTTAACACATTGAACCCTAAGCCCGAGTATAGGTCGGGGCATGACGTAAGACACACTGAACTAACCCCGAGTATAGGTCGGGCTTCAATATTAAATTCCATAGCAACGTAATGACGTCACATTTGCTATTTTTGTTATTACGTAACCATTTCTTGGTCTTCTGGCTTCGATTGTAATACCCCACAACCTCAAAAAAACCAGCTGTTTGGTAACACAAAAAAAAGATCCAGCTGTCTGCAGCCTTGCATCGTATTGCTTAGTGATGACGACGACGACGCTTTGTTGTTGTTGTCTGCGCTAATGGCTGTCTTTGTTTACAATTGTTTATGTCTTCAATAAAGTGAATGTTTTCTGTTTTTTACAAGTATTATGATTGCGTAATAGTTCTTGTTATGAGCAATACCTTGTTGTGGATAATTTTTGTTGTGTTTAGTGTAAAATATGAGCGATATATTTGATAAAAAAATGTTGAGTCATATTCGAGAACTCTTATCAGAATCAGACCATAGTGATGAAGAAAATCAATCTTTTAGTGATAATAATTACTTATGTTCAGGACCTAGTTCTACTACAATATCAGTAAATGAAAACTTGAATGATCCTATTTATGATTCTGGTTCGGAAGGTGAGTTTGTTGTAAGTAATTTAGATGCTTTTCAAAATGAGGTTAGTGCTGTTACATACATGGTTGATGAAAATGATCCTGATGAGTTGGTGTTTTATGATTTACTACCAAGTGACATAGAAAATGATGACTGTCAAAATGAATCAATTTCAGTAGTTGAAGAAGATGAAAGTAGAATCTTAGGCCCAATTAGATGTAAATATAACCCTACAATTTACTCTGATGAAGAAAATTGTGATGAACCAGAAACAGTTCTAGACACTACTAGGCCTACAGATGGTATACCATTTAGGCCTAACCCTCTTGAAATTAGTCATGAACAACCACCCAATCAGCCTAATCATAAAATCTGCAAAAACAGAAAATTACTTAGGCCTAATAGTTCGATAGTTTCTTCGGATGACAAACTGTGTGATCCTGATTTCGACAATGTTGACAAAGATCCAGATTTTCTGCCTAGTGATCGTGAAGATAATATCTTACAGCCTTCAGCTACTTCTTGTTTAGGTTCTCTTAGGCCTATAGTAACCAACCAAGTAAAACGCCGGTCTAATAGTAGGCCTACTAATCATAATCGTAAAACCAAAAGACAACGATCTATATCGCCAAATGAAAACTTACCGGATAATGCAAATTTACCTGTGCCAAATGAAAACTTTGAACCTGAACCGGAGCAGACTCAACCAAGGAAAAAGAAGAAAAAAAAACCCACTGATGAGGAACTTGGATGGCGGTTGGAGGACAACCCACCACCACTACCAGCATTTGACGAGTTAGGCGCTGGTGTTACGGCTGCTATTGATGAGAACTCAACTCCATTTGATGTGTTTTCTATATTTTTTCCTGAATTTTTTATCAAATCATTGAAGTCAGAGACAAATAAATATGCCAAGTCTATAACCGATAAACTCAGAAGATCAAACAAATTGAGGAAAAATAGTGTCTGGTCAAAATGGACAACCGTAAAGCTTTATGAAATTTACCATTTTTTCTCGATTGTATTGCACATGTGTGTTGTGAAAAAACCTAAACTTAGTGACTATTGGTCAACAGACAATTTTATAAAATCTATGTATGCTCCGTCAGTCATGGCCAGGGATAGGTTCCTAGCAATTTTGGCAAATTTTCACATCAACGATAATTCAACATACATCCCATTCAACACTCCAGGCCACGATCCGTTACATAAACTAAGACCATATATAGATCTTTTGCTGACTTCTTTCCCAATGTGTTTTTCACCGTACGAAGATTTGACCATAGACGAAGGAACTTGCGGATTCAGGGGTAGAGTTAGGTTTAGAGTTTATAATAAAAGTAAGCCTGACAAGTACGGGATGAAATTATATGTTTTGTGTGATGCATCTACAGGATATGTTCTAAAATTTGAAGCCTACACTGGTAAGTCTGACTCCAGTAATACAGTTGTAGCTCTATATGAGAGATTGTTGGCAGATTACCTCAATAAAGGACATACTATTTATAATGATAGATTTTACTCTTCACCAAAGCTTTTTGACTTTCTCTGGGAGAAAAATACTAAAGCAGTTGGTACCTGCATGAGCAATAGGACCGAGTTGCCCAAGACTGTCACTACTAAAAAGCTACAAAAAAATGAAACTGTTTTCATGAGAAGAAACCATTTACTCTGCATAAAATGGAAAGATACTAGAGATGTCTTAGCTCTATCAACAGCTCATAAAATGACTACATCAGAAGTTACGGTGCGTACAAAACAAGGGATGTTGCAAAAACACAAACCAGATCTGATTTTGGATTACAACAATAAAAAAACAGGTGTGGACAGAAATGACCAGTTTATTTCCTATTACCCTTTCAAGAGGAAACAGATGAAATGGTGGAAAAAAATGTTCTTCCACTTGTTTATGATGTCAATTGTCAACGCATTTATCTTATATCGAAAAACCAGACCTGCAAACCTGAGACCCCTCTGTCACCTTGAAAAATTTATAATAGCAATTGGAAAATCATTGTAAAAGCAGGGACTTTATTACAAGAAGAGGAAACTGCAAGAGCCACAAAATCTGATCGACTTATTGGACGTCATTTCCCTGACAAAATCCCCTCTACGGACAAGAAAAAAAATCCTACAAGAATTTGCAAAGTGTGTTCGGAAAAAAACAAAGTTTCTACAGGAAAATCAGGAAGAAAAGAAACTTCTTGGTGGTGTCCAGAGTGCCAAACACCATTGTGTGTGCCTGAATGTTTTAGACTGTATCATACCAAAGCAGACTATAGTAAAGCCTAGGCTAGATGTGCTTGGGAACTGATACGACAACGACATTTCAATTTCTCGTGTTATAATATGTAAGGTAAGCAATATAACTATATACATGTATATATTTCCTGAAAGGGCATGTTGTTCTCTTCAATTTCACATGATATAAATGCCATAATTATGCTAAAGTAAATATAAAATACTTTTTTAATTAGGTTAGTACTTGCGGTTGCAATTTTTGTTTTTCTCAATTTTTTTTGTTATTTCAAACTGAAACCCTGTAATTTATAGCCTGCGGTAATGTAATAAAATATATGTCATTTAAAAGCTTATTATTTT